TGTCGCAACTCAGTTTTCGCTTGGCTATTTACGAAAGGATTTTTATTTGCTGTTTCACCCATTCATTCATTCATCCAAAATAATGAAAGAACTCATTTAAAACTTAATTAAATATTTATTGTAACAGAAACGAAAAATATATTTTGGATTACCTCACACTTAAATGTTAATAAAAATAATACATTAAAACAATCAAAAAACTTACATTATACTGCCACCCAGCAGGATCGAAGAGAAGGAGATGTGCTACATTGCTGATGATTAATCGATACTCAAATGAATACTGAATACTGTCTGTTGACTGTTAACTATTAACTATGATCCATGATCTTGACCTCCTCAATATTTATAAAGAATTATACGCTGACATTGCGACTTTGATCCGGTCACTGTACTGAGGTAAAATGCACAGCATGCAATCTGTGCCAACTTTGCGTATTTGGAGATTGTTTTATATTCTATATCCTGTGATCGGATCAATTTCGATGTCTATGAACTTGAAATATTAAAAGATGGAATTTTGAATACTGAGTGTTCTTGTGTTAAAATATTGAAGTGAGGTTGGAACATCTTTCAATTCATGTATTTAATTGAATGAATCTGAATCATTTCATGATTATTTTCTATATTTGACAATATATGCTCCTTAGATTTGAAATGTCTTTCTGTAAAACGAGGTAAATTTTTTAAATCGGAGTATTCTATTTTAGACCACGTTTGGTATTCGGTTTGTACGGAAAATAAAGGCCAACAAAAAAGTTTTTCTTGTTTAATGGAGCCGGTTAACCAATCGCATTTATCGTACCAACTAATATTAAATCCTCGATTTTATCGATTATCTGACCTTTCAATTGAAATTAAATTTGGTTGAGGCTTTCCCAGAGTTTTAATAACGTAAAATTTATTATCATAAGATAAAGACTTAAAATTATTTGTCAGCAACCAATCGACTATATCGTCAGATTTTTTAATTTCGTCCAACTTATCCATAATAAATAAAAAAAAAATTACCAAAAAGTGAAAACCTGAAAACACATTGAAATTGAAAGAAAGCACTTTAAAACACATTAAAAATATTACCAAAAGGCACTGCTATAATATAATACTGCCTGTTTTATACACTGCCGAATAATTAAATGAAAAACAAACGCAGTCGTACACTAACGAAGACCAACTGGAGGCTAGCCTCCTCTAATGCTATAATTTCTGCAACTGAAATTACAAATCGGGACGTATGTCGCTGGTTGGATCGGTCTCGTGAAGCCTGTGTTTTTTAAAGCGGTTGGAGGCTTGGCTCCCTTGCAACGTATGGCATTTATTATTTTGAGTTGATGGTTTATTTGTTATTCGTTCATGGGCGGTGCGTTTGAGTTTTGTTGATGCAGGATACAGTGTGGTACGTACTACGTAGTGAGTGATAGTGTTTTTTCGGGCATATTATGTATTCATATTAAAAATGACCGGTAAAGTAATGATAACCAAGCATTTTTAGAAAAAAATAATAGTAATTATTTGTCAATATCTTTTAATTTATTGCGATGAATAGCCTCAAATTGTATGGGGAGGCTAAGCCTCCCTTGCCTCCTCTGCCGAGCCGCCGCTGCTTCATTCAGTGAATTTTCTACAACGTCTGACACGCGAGCCTGACTCGGAAGCTTATCAAAATTTAACCTCTTCCCCATTTCATTAGACTAGTAGCCTCCTATTTTACCGACCAACAAATCCGCGGTAAAGTCGGAGAAGCCTTTGCCTTCACTCTCAAATCCGTAGTCCCCCAGGACTCAGTTCTAGCCCCTTTCCTATTCCTAATCTATGTACACGACGCCCACTCCACTCATAAAATTTTGAAATACACCTTTATTCCTCCGCCCCCAACACCCGCATCTTACAAATACAATCCTAAACAATGATAAATCACTTCGAGCACTGGTGCAACAAGTGGCGCATCAAAATAAACCCTTCCAAAAACGAAAACATTCTATTCAGACACCTTATACCACTACCCGCCCCAAATTAAGTACTAACAACTTGAACCTCAGACTGTTGGGAGAGAACCTCCAACTCCAGGTCTCGGTGTCCTACTTGGAGGTTACTTTCACGAATAGCCTCAACTGGGAGACCGACATTAGAGAAACTCTGGACAGAGTCCGGAAAAAAGCTAGACTCCTAAAAGTGCTGAGAGACCAACTGGGGAGACGCGACAGTAAAACTCTTTTACACAGGTACAAAATGTTCATAAGACCTATTCTGGATTTTAAAGCCACGATCTACTGCACGCTCTCCCTGAGACGAACCCACCGCATACTAACAACCGAAAGAAGATTCCTACGAAACATACATAACCTACCATTCTGATACCCCTCCCACTGAACACTTATTATTTTTAAATGCGAAGTACTTCAGCCCTCATGAAAACAAACTGATGAAACAAATAAATCGAAAATTTATAATAGACATTAGAAACTGGCGAATGGGCAAAATAAATTACTTTCACTCACGGGAACATAAGAAACAAACAATATCAGGAGCGTGTCTGAGGGGAGGGGGGGTAATGGGGTAATTACCCCCCATGACCATGACTACATATAGAAAAAATTCGAACATTTCTTATTTTCAAACTCAAAAAATGATTATAATGAAGACACAACTATGGGTTTTTACACCTGTCTTCTAGTCTTCTAGCTTCTAGCGACAACAATGAATTATAATCGCAATCAGGGTGGCGCATTATGGAGTTGAGTAAACAGAGTTTTTATTTGTTATTGTACGCCGACGGCCGAATTCACGAAGCAGGTACTTATGTAAATACATTATATACTTGGAATGAAATAGTCGGGAATACATCAGCGCAAAAACTCAAAATTAACTGATCGAATTATGAGTATTACTGGAGTTTTTTCCCAACACCAAACCGTTATTTTAACACCTCGACATGTGTTTCGATAGGAAGATCAAGAGACAGATCAGTTTGATCTTTCTCTTGAAAATGATCACTTGGTGATCAAAACACGTGTCGAGGTGTTAAAATAACGGTTTGGTGTTAGGAAAAAACTCCAATAATATTCATTTCTACACCAAAGGTTCCAAACAGTGCATCACAAGTACATATACGAATTATGTAAATAGGAAATTCTAACTACCATATTGAAGAATATTACATATCTCACAAATATCTGTCATACTCAGATATTATGAATTGTCACGCCTCTAATTACAATAAACCTTCGGTAGAACCAGTTATGACAGGTCAAATGTTAGCACAATCTGTTGTGAAACTAATGAAATCTTTGAATTTGAATATGGATCATTGTGTGGGAATTGGTACCGATGGGTGCAATTTAATGTTGGGTGAACAGAAAGGCGCCGTTGAAGAATTGCAACAAGAATTAAAAACTGCTTTGAAGTGCCCATGCAGTAATCACGCATTAAATTTATCTATTTCGAAGAGTTCAAATGTTCAGTCAATATGAAATGCTACTGGTATCATGAAAGAAGTCATCACCTAGTTCTAATTCATCTTCTAAGAGACACATTGTTCTATTGCACGTCGATGGAAAGAATAAGAATACAAAAGTTGTGTGATACAAGGTGGCTTGAAAGACATGAATCAATTGAGTTTTTAGAATATCATTGAATCCCTTGATTTGATATCTAATTGGAGGGAGAGAAATTCCGCATCTAAAGTTGCTTGTCTGAAATTATCATTTATTTTCACCAACTTCATTGTAAGTTTATGTTGTTTATCAGAAGTATTAGGACTCACAGTAAACTTGAGTAAAATTTTGCAGGCTAAAACCATAGATAATTAGTACGTTGAGAAGATCATTACGAATGTTTTACAAACACTGCAATATAAAAGAGAGAGAAAGGTGACGACAATTTCATTAAAATCTACAAAGACGTAACGAAGATTTACGAAGTGTTAGAGATCGACATTACTATGCCACGGGTGGTAGGTAAACAAACCATGAGACCAAATATACAATGTAATAGTTCTGAGGATTATTATAGAATCACTGTCTATATTCCTGTTCTTGAAAGTGTTATAGAGGATTTCGAATTTGGATTCAACAATAAAGCTGTGTTCTATTTTTCAAATGTTGTACCTTCCATCTGCTTGGAACATTCACATGTACAGCTGGAATACTATATAAACAAATTGGTAGCATTTTTGTCCCAAGTAACTGCAAGTGAATCTGAAATTTCTTTGTACCGTAGATTAGAATTAGAACTGGAACTATGGATAAATGATTGGAAGAATTGTCACGAAAACTCTGATACTGGAATCGATTCATTATTGCGGTATGATAAAAATATTTACCCTTTAATTTATACTATTTTACAAATTCAAGTGGCATTACCAGTATCTGTGGCTTCGGCAGAACGCAGCTTCTCGTCATTGTGAAGACTGAAAACCTATATCAGATCAACCATGTCGGACACTCGTTTAGCAGGACTTGTCTTGCTTAATATTCATCGGGATAATTTGGAATTTACAATTTAATAACATTAATCTATTATAACCTGTTTTTGTAATTTTGTCATGTTTATATATTTATAGTTATACATTCTCTCATTTTTGAGTTATGGTTTTCGTTTTGAATAATATTCTGTTTATTTATTTTCAGTTACACATTTTCTAATTTTTGAGTTATTGTTTTCGTTTGGAAGGTTATTCTGTTTATTTATTTATTTTTTCAAAGAATTAAATAAGAAAGCCTAATGTTACTGAAGTTTTACTTTTTAACACGTATATGAACCCTTCATAGTAAATATTGGGCCCGAAATGGGTGATTAACCCCCTCATGGCACGCACCTGAACAACATATGAAAACAGCTGACAGGACTTTCTTTTTGTTTTACCATTTGGCTTAGTCGTAATATGTCCGAAAGACGTCGTGACAATGAACTTCCCAAAAGGCTCTCCGTGGCCGAATCACAAACCACCTACTAGTAGTTTGTGGGCCGAATGCAGCTTGAATCGAAATCTTTGTAAAATAGAGACGAAGAACTGACGACGGTCAAAATAATTAATTGAAGTTATGTAAATTGTAAATATAAATATAAATATAACGAAAAAATAGCACTGCATATTGTGTCTGCATGTCTTCGATTATAAAAACTATCAAAATGGCAACTTTGGAAAGTTCCGTATTACAAAGTAAATTCAGAGGCAGTTTGTTGGGATCCCTAATAGGGGATTGCACGGGATCCCCTTATGAAGGAGATACATTTACTAATGGTGATAAAATCATTCTTCAGCGGTATTTTGACAAATTAGAGGAACCAAATTTCAAAGGTGAATTAGTTGTTCATTGAAAATTGTAATACTAAACATCAATTTTTTCAGCACCTTTCAAACCATACACAGATGACACAGCTATGATGAAATCAGTAGCAAAATTCCTAATCGATAAACCAGAACCAGATTATAAATTTCTCGCAAAGTTATTTGTTAATGAATATTTTAAGCAACCAAAACGAGGTTATGGTGAAAATGTAGTGGATGTTTTCCATAAATTGAGAAACAGCAAATTTGAAGATGTGTTTAAGCCAGCTAGGGAACAATTTCTAGGTAATTTATATATCATATGAAACTTCAAAATTTTCTAGTAAACTATTTTTTGTCGTTTGATTTCAAATCTGAGGTGAAGATTTCATTGTTTTGGATCTGCTAGAAGTGAGGCCTATTAATTCTACAGTATATGGTTTTTTTATTATTATATGTATGTGTCAGTGTTTGTATAATATACTATTCTATTAGTCTAGTGATTTTATATGTTATCGTTGTATTCTATTTTACTTATACTTCAAATTATCTAAAAGAACAATTCGCTCAGGCCAGTCTCAAATTACCTAAACTGTAGGTTAATGGACTGACACTTATCAGGAAACAACTACTCCCTTGGCTAATACCACGAAGAGCGTTGGATCATATCCGACAGGTGTCAGTACAGGATTCTTCACTAAAGTTATTCCTGCATATGCTGTTGGCAATACAACTGCTGCAATAAATTTACTTGTACTTTTTCATAGCTGTAAACTTCATTATATTTGTCTTGTAATCGGGATTACTCTGTGGCCTAAGTTCTTCGAATTCATTAATGGTAATTTTTTGTAAAGATTGGTGTTAAGTGGAATCGTATTCTTGTAACTCCTTTTGACACATCCAAGTTGGACTGCATCTCAAGGTATATAATAATTTGGGGATAGCCAACCAGTATTTCAAGAGAAAATATGCTACATGGGAAGGGAGACTATCTAGACGAGATGACAATAGAATTGAAGACTCTATTTTCCGTGTAAGGTAACGTGATAAATACTCTACAGAGAGAGGAGCTCCCAATAACGACCAGTGTGTTTTGCGGCGATTTCATTTCGTGGAGAAATTATTGTGAATGGATTTGTAAGGAGCAAAGATTTCACATTTGTCGAAATTTAATTCAAGTCTAATCTCATTAGAGAGGTGAATTTTTTTTTTTGAAATTCCTGGAGTACAAAATCTGTATTACCACCAATAGAACCATCGTCTAGGTACCAACAATTGAAATTGGTATTGGTAGACTTCGTCAAATAATTTGAAGTAAGGCAGAAAAGAGCTGGACCTAAAGGATCACCTTGTTGAAACCCTCTCTGAGATAAGATAGTTTTTTTTCAAAATTCACAAATGTTCAATTTCGATAACATTGCTTAATGAAAGGAAAGAGGTGAGGAATAATTTCGTGGGTTTTCCGCAAAATTATGTTTCTGTGAATCATGTTGAAGGCGTTTTTATAATCTAGAAACCTCTATACATAACAATTTGGTCACAAGGCCACGAAAAATGGTGCCAATAGCAAAGGGGTGAATTTTTTATGATTCGGCCGTTACTTGATGAAGAATTATAGTAATTTCATAAACTACACCTCATGATTTGATCTCCACAAACTTTATTTGAGAAATATGAAAATGGGGTGAATGCTACCATCTTTTTTCTTTACTGCTATCAAAGAGACACCATACAAAATTGGACTAATTTCGGGATTCAGTTGACCGCTCAGCAAAAAGTTACACAAGTCAAATGGGACAGAAGTTTTTCACCTTTACAACCATCATCGTCAAGTTATGTGGGTGAAGGTTGATCACCCACGGTCTCCTCTACTATTATATATTCGAGTTTTATATTTGTTGAAGTATGTTAAAAACGTATTAATAAAATTATAATGTGTAGTTGTTCAAAAATAGTGATGACCAGTTTCTATTTTTGGAGCTTTCGATCGTAAACTGAAGTCATCCGTATGTGTCTTAAAAAGAAGATGCTATTTTACAACATAACATTCTTGTTTCTCAAAAGGATATACAATTCCCTCAAACTGTATCTGACTGACAAATTTTGAGTTCTGATTCATGTTTTGAGTTCTAAATTATGTAACTAACAAATTCTTAAATATTTTTTTGTAGACAGAAGTAATATGGAATTATTTTCAGGAAGTGGATCTTATGGAAACGGCGGAGCAATGCGTATTGCTCCTATTGCCTTGTATTGTCACAGCAACTACAAAACTATGCTGGAGATAGCTGCAAATGCTACAAAATTAACTCACACAAATATTCTTGGAGTAAATGGCGCTTTACTGCAATGTATAGCAATCCATCAAGCACTAGAACATCACCCTGAAGAAAAAATTGACCCCAAAAGATTTTGTTTGGAGCTTTACCTTAAAATGAAGAAAATTGAAAAGACTGATGAAGAGGATGTTGAAGAGTACATTTAGTTTGGAAGATATTTCTCTCTAAGACTACCAAAAAGGCAACTGTAGCATAATTTTTTCTTAGCTTGTGAGGGATATTCATCTGACCTTCGCGTTTGTAACATTTTTTATCAGTTCATGACAAAGATATGAGGAGAAAATGAAGAAAACAAATCAAAATTTTCAACTTCTCATAGAAATCTCTGAATGTTTTCACAATTATGAAATGAAATCCACAAAAATAATGTATATCCAGTGTATCACTGGGTTCTCAAATAAGCATTTACAAAAGATTTTTTTTCACTAATAACGTATATTCATGTTTATGGGTCACTTTGAAACAAAAGTATACTGAAATTTAACACAAAATTCCTTGAATGATTTCATGCAGAATGTTGTGTATTCAATTCTTGATAGACCATTATTCTTGAAAATGTGATGTGGAATGTGAATGAAAATGCCCACCCCAAAATCCCATGTATTTTCTTATGGCGCTTCATTCTGGCGTTTTTTTGGACATCAGCCCCAGTTCACACGAAAGGGACTTCTGCTGTCATTCAGTCAACCAATCAGAAGCTACCGCGAGTACAGTACAAGCAAATTCAAACCACCAGTAGATGGACAATGTATGTTCTGGCACAAAATCCCATGTCTAAACTAAAGAGTTAAACTTTTTGCAATATTCATGTCATCCGAGCGGAACCTTGTGGAACACCAAACTCGAGGTAGGTGTATTTCGGAGAGTGGGAGAGAGAAACGTGTGACATAATCGATGCAGGATGGAATGAGTATCGTAGAGATTTATAGAGCGTGGTCCACTTGGGACTCCACCTCACCTCTCGAGTCCCCTTGTCACATACCAGTCACGTGGTCCTAATTAAAAAAAGTTTATCAGTATGAGATTTGAACGCAGGTCGTCGACGTGGTAGACGTTGTCCTCAGCCTCGACACTAACGTGGAATATTGGATGTAATTGCGAATTGTTGATGTTTATAGCGGTTGTTTTGTTGGTACTGAAATTGTCTCATTTTCTATACTTAACCTTATTTCCAGATTTCCATAGAGTTTTAGGGAAATTGTAACGTCATTTCCTTGTAGAAGATAGGGAAATATCCTTAGATTTGGGAAAGAATTGATGTTTCATATAAAGGTGTGCGTTTGTATGAGTGAGAGAGATACTTGTGACATAATCGATGCAAAGAGAGATGGAGATGGTATCGAGATGGTATGCCGCCAATGCCAGCAGGTGTTGTCGGTTGTAAAATAAATCGTTGTTTATGGGGAGATGTAGCGTTGCCGATTTTAAAATTAGGCATGAAGGGTTAGGAATACGACTCAATAAACATTGTATATTGGAAGCGCAAAAGTGATATATTAATAATGATGAATGAAGAGTCAGATTTGAGAAAAAATATGACAGTTTAACACTTCAACGTGCGGTTCCTCAATGTGTACCTACAGGGTGTCTCAAAATGTATCGGTTTAATGGAAGTCTATCGTTCCGACATGTCAGAAGGACACTAAGTCATATCTTCGTTAACCAAGTTAGCATCATCAGGAGAAGGAGGAAATGACACCCAAAAGTGTCGGAGAGTTACGTGTAGAGTTAATGTTCGAAGGTGGGGACAATGGGGGAGAGAAGTATTCGTCAATAACAATTCAATTCACGTGCGTTTCGACCGTTTTGCGTAAGTTTCGACCGTTTTGCGTAAGTTTCGACCGTTTTTCGTAAGTTTCGACCGTTTTGCGTAAGTTTCGACCGTTTTGCGTAAGTTTCGACCGTTTTGCGTAAGTTTCGACCGTTTTTCGTAAGTTTCGACCGGTTTGCGTGCGTTTATTCGTTTTCGTTTCTTTTTTTGTTTTTTTTACATGTTTCAATATGACGGTCATCTATCACTTAAGGCGTTTCGCAAACCAAGTAAGCATCATCAGGAGATGACTAAAGTCCATGCGTTGTTGTATGAAGGTTCAGTTTGCGAATTTTCAGACTCCCGAAGGGAACCATGTGGTTCCCTATATTTAAATATCAAAAATCGCCTGCAGAATAATTTCAATCTATTCAAAGAAGCCTAAAAAGAATCCGCCTTAATTTTTTCCCTCACCCAATTATTCAAAAATAGAAAAAATGATCACTTTGAATATCTTTTGAGACAATTGAAAATATTGTAAAGTATGCTTTCGTTATCTTGAAGAAGACGGATGTTTTTGGTTCATGAAATTGAATACAGCAAACTATTTCATTTGATACACATATCATGGGGGTGTATAGAAAAAACTAATCCGCCATCTTGGACGGTCTGCCACATTAGATTCAGAGTGATGTCATGTTGTTTTTCAAATGAAAATATTGTAAAGTATTCTTTCGTTATCTTGAAGAGGAATGTTTTTGGTTTATGAAAATGAATACAGCAAAATATTTCATTTGATACACATATCATGGGGGTGCATAGAAAAAACTAATCCGCCCTCTCGGACTGTCTGCCACATTAGATTCAGAATGACTTCATGTTGTTTTCCAAATTCCTTTAAGCAAATCCTTTCATTTGATACACCTAACATGGGGGTGCATAAAAAACTAGTGTGCCATTTGGGTGGTTCACCATGTTGGATGAAGAATGGCATCACTAACTAACTTTGCATTGTCATTCTATTTACAAGATTGTGCAAGATTTCATCTCAGTCGGTTGAGGATAGCTGTTTCAAAATTCAGTTAGAATATTTGATCTGAACTTACATATATATGCATATATGCAGGCAGACAGATAGACAGGCATACAGACAAGCAAACAGACAGACACATGCACAGGCAAACCTCAGCCACCATGTATAAGTCATTTGATATTTAGACGGTAAAAAAATCGTGAAACAAGTCTACTTTACTTTTCAGGGAGACATATTTCTTTGTAAAAATTAATCTCTTGTCAGCTACCTTTTCCCCATAATAACTCACATGTCTAATGATACTTATTCAAAAGGTCTTTAAATAATGTATTCAACTCTGTAACATTTTTGACATTACAACAATAAGTAAAGTCAGAAAAACAAACTTACCTTCTTTGAGTTCGTTTTTTAATTTCGAACAGAAAAAATTACTTTATCAAATGTTTGAACTGAACATAATTGACTCGAATACAGTGGTATTAACGAGATATCTGGGTAGCTGCCTTTCCTTTCAAACCATTGACCTGGAAAGTTATCTACGTACTATGCAACGAGGAGAAACCCCACCTTGTTGAAAAAACCTTCCATTCCGCATTATACGATTTAACTGGATGGCGTTGATTGGCATAACTTGATTGTTGATCAAATTCACCTAAGTTTGCTTTGGAAGAAAAAAAATATGGTTATGAAAAATTCCTGCCCAAACATTAAATGTTTGGGAATATTGGGTATGAATTCGGCGTGCCGTACTGGGAAATTTTGAGGATTTACTCGTCAATTCACGTATATTCATCTGAGAAATGTGGTGTACAACAAAGCTGAATTCTGGTTCAACTCTTCTGTCGAAATCATCTTCATTCAATTTATGATTCATTTACATTTTGTAAGGGTGGAATTTGTGTAGATGAAGGATTCTGAAAACGTTTTTGGCACTCATTTCTGAAGCTTGTGACAACTTAGTCAAAGGCTGCATATTTTCTATCAAGTCAATATGCCCTAGAAATGCAACATTAATGCTTTCGTTATTGACTAGTCCTGAACGTCCTCACAAACCTCATTGAGATCAATGAAAATGACACTTAATTTATTTTTGGAATTTAATTGTTTTCGAGATATTCTAAGCAAATGTTCGTAATTTCTACTTTTCCGAAATTCCTTATAATGAATAATATTTGAATAATCATGTGTACAGTGCTGCCTCTCGACGCAAGTTTCGCTAACTAAGTGAGCATCATCAGGAGATGGCTTAAACTGCTCTTAACATAGTGTAAGATTTAGTTTTAGTCATCTTCACATGATACTAACTTGCTTATCAAAACTTGCTTCAAGAGACAGTACTTTTTATTTTGTATGTAGGTTTGTTCAATGTTGTGGATGCCCACTAAAATAGAATTTTCAAATATTCTAGCTGGGGCGCGTCCATAAAACAAAATTATCTTTTCATCCATGTCCTTAAATTTCCCTTGGTTGAATTTATATTTAGTATTAGCGTTGCAACCGTGCGGAGCCGGGGCGGTTCGCTAGTTTATGATATTGATAAGTAATATCCAGAAGCATAATTAATCTCTCCTAAAAATACAGGGTGATTCAAAAGTACTTTGACAAACTTCAGGAGGTGATTCCTCACAATATTCTAATATGAAACATCTGTATACCGAAAACCCACTCACACGGGACAGTATCTGAACCACGAATCCAA